CCATTCACAGGGTTCTCACTTGGTGAAATACCTTCTTGTTGCATAACTTCGAAATGCTTAAATTTGGTTTTTGATGAGCTCCCCTAACAGTTCCTTCTTTGCACTAATGTCCTTAATAAACCTTGAATAGATATTATCTTAAATTCATGGCTAGTAACATGACTCATCTGGAGGATATATCAATATTAGAAGTAAAATTTCCTCTTAATAATAAAACATATTTAATTTATATAAAGATTTATTTCAGTTACCATTTAAGAAATACCGACTTCATTTCAAGCAATGTGCTAAGAAGTTTTCATATATTCATCCTGTTACTTTTTTTTCCAAATCTCTAGCAATGACATCATATTTGCATAAACCCTTCGTTAGAATATAAATCTTGCTAAGACAGGAGACTTGTCTACAGTTTCAATGATATTTTTAAAAAGCTGAGAAAAATGATGGGCTTAACATACATACTTGTCTTAGTCCACTACTGTATTGTTTACAGAAATACATGAAACTGGGTAAATTTAAGAAAATTCTTTGTTTATTTGCTTGTTTGTTTTGGAGAGAATTTTGCTATAGGGCAGTGCACTCACCAGAAAGAGAGAGACAGAGAAATAGAAAGTGAGAAATCACCCCCCCCCCCAGGGGAGATGGCCATGTCACTATTCCTTCTCCTCTATTCTCATCTTGGGATCTTGGGCATGCACACACAGGTGCCTGGTGTGAGTTTAAGCCACTGGGTCCAAGACTAAAACCGTGGTTAGTGATATAGCCATTATACCAACTGCTGATCCCAAGAAAATTCTTAAATGCAGTTTAAGGACAGCCATTAGGATGATGGTCAAGGTGACTGGATTCCACATGGCAGACTATGTGGTTCAAGTCGCAAAAGAGTGGCTTGAAAAACATGTCAGGGTGTGTGTGTGCCCAAAATCCCAAAAGAAGATTGGAGAGAGGATTATGGCATAGCCGTCCCTACGGGGGGGTGGGGGGGAAGACTTCTTTCTCACCTTCTCTCTCTCTCTGTCCCTCTCTGTCTCAGGCAAGGACATATGCCATATAGCAAAAATGGGGGTGGGGAGAGGTTTATTTGACTCATGATTCTGGTCATGTTAAAGGTCCAAAGGCAGGGCAAAATAGCAGAGGTGGGAATCATGAGCAGAATCAACATCTATAAATTTCTTCCTGTTCTGGTCTCCTTTCCCTTCATAGATACACATGAAAACTCAGTTGTAGAGGCCCCATCTTAATGACCTTATCACATTCAAAGGCCTCTTGCTGGGACATCATGAAATTAAGTGTTTGTTTAATACTTTCATAATATAACCAAATCCCAAAATACAGATTTTTGGTGCTAACCAATCTCTAACAATACTCAAAATAAGTTGAATGAATTTTGTTTCCATTGTGTAAACTGAAATTAAAACTTAACTTTTTAACTTACACAACTTACAGGCCTGAGGCTATAATTTGAATGAACGCTTTCTATTACTTATATAACCTATTAGTTATACAACAATTAGTTGGACAATAATGTATTCATCAACTGAAATCTCTTTGTCTGGCAAGCTTTATTTATATTCTAAAGCTGGCAGAAAGCATGGTTATATCTTTGGCCAACCAGAAACAATGACGATATTATAGTGAGCTATCCAGCAAGATAAGAATTCCACAGAGGATTTGTCTATTTTGCTTGATGATGTATCTAAATCCCCCAGAATAGAGACATGCACATAGTTGGCATTCAGTTCAATAATTTTTTTTTAAAAAATAAGTGTGTTTTGTTTTCTCACTGACTGTTAATATTAATAGATCTTAAGGTATTTCAATGTGAAAGCTACGATTTAGTTTTTTCTCATTATACCTATTTTGTAATACTTTCTAGTACTTCTATGTCTTATTTGATTCTAATTATACTAAAAGATGTATGAAGCAGGCAGGATTTTTACCTTCTAATAAATGCATATGCTAAATAGTCCAAGGTCAAATACATTTTTCAAGATTGCCTAATTAGCTAAAGAATTGTGATTATTATATCTTAGTCATCTACCAACACTTTTTTTTCTATTGCCAAAGGTTATGAGCACTTACCAGATTGAGAGAAGGAAAGAGGGAGAGAGGGAGGGAGGAAGAGAAAGCATTCCTCAGTTGGCATGGTCATGCTGCGATCCTTTCTCCTCCATTTCTCTAGCCTGTTAGAATTTGGGACACATATGCGCAGCATGTCTTCAAGTTGCTTGGGAGGGAATTGAACTATGATCAGCCTGTGGGGTCCAGAACCCTTCTACTAACATTAAAAACATACACAAACACCAAGTGTTTCCAGAGCACCAGGACTTATTATTATTTTGCAAATTTGCATGATTTTAAATAACTAAGAGCCACAAATACTAACTTTATCCATAAAAATGATGTCTGAGTAAATCATATTAAATACCTAACGTTCTGTGGAAGAGACTTTATGTTTTCTGTGACTGATGCCTTTCATTAGTGTTTGAACTATCTAAGAAGAAGCTCCCTTAAAGTCTTTAATTTAGTACTGGTTATTAGTTGAGCCTCTTGTTTAAGAATAGTAGCCATTCTTTAAATCCTAAATGACTTTCAGTTTTTAGCTGAAACCTTTACCTTCTATTACCCAAAATATATTACCTAGAACTTATACTCTTGTAAGTAGATATTATTTGAAAATAATGTCACAAGTCTATTGCTGCTATTGCTTGGTAAAATAAAGTTAAGCACTTTTTTTGTTATTTGCTTTTCATTTAGTTTTATTTTACTTTAAATGTAGACTAGCTTAGAGTATTTACAATACACTATACCAAATTGCAAGGTGACTTTCTAAAATTAGAGGTACATTAAATAGTATTTCTCTAACTTATCTGAACCTGAAAAAAAAAGTTTCTCCCTTTAGGACACATTTGGGATTATTATGCTGTGGATAACACTCTGAGATATATTGGATAAGGAGTTTATATGTTTATCTTATATTTAACTAATTCTTAAGGACTGCTTTTTGTTGTTATTGTTTTATTTTTCTTAGAGGATACGTGCACTCATGAGAAAGAGACAAAGAGAGACATGAAAAGTGAGAATGCATGTCCCCCCAAGGGGAATGGCCATGCCACAATCCCTTCTCTGCCTTTTTTGCTCTCTGGATTCTGGTCATGCATTCATAATGTGCCTGGCATGTTTTTCAAGGCGCCAGATCTGGGACTCTAACTGCACAGTTGGCCATGTGGGACCCACCTGCTTTAATCATCATGCCACCATCTATCTCTGGGCTAGTCTTAATGATTGATTTCTATAAATTATAGTTCTTTCATTATTTCAGATAGTTAGTAGTACAAGCAAATATACTGGCAAGTTCAGTGTTTATGTCTTTTTTATGAAATAAAATGGAAATAGGAAATGAAAAGAAAATGCTAACTTCTTTTGTATTTGTTCCATTATGATCTAGTGCAAAACACCCTGAGACTTAGCACAATTTACATCCTGACTGGTTATAGTTCAGTTGCCTGGTTTACATTTCTTTAAATTTATCATTTAATAGAAAATATTTGTTTGCATGATCTGTAATTCATAGTTTACAAATTCTACCTGCAACTTTAATTACACTGGTTAACTATAATATATTACTTTAATGACCAAGTAGCAGGTGTCCCCAAGCTGCATATAGTGACAATTCACTTATTGCAAGGATATGGAATAAAGAAAGACAGGTAAGGTTCACAGGTAGTGGTCAACATGTCAAAGGGTTTGCTTATAGAATGTTAACCCAATCAAGATATTATTTAAAAAAATAAAAAGGTAGTTCAGCAAAATAAAAGAAGGAAACAAAGAATATGGTGGCAGATATGGGAGGCAGTGTGAGCTAACAGTGACCCAGCAGCAAACAGTGAAGGCTAAAATAATCTGTTGATTTTAGTCTTAAAAGATTCTTCTTTGAATGGCACCATTTTAAGACTATCAAGGTTTATTTCTCTCCTATAGATTCAATTTCACTTCTTGAGTCTCCACGGAATACTTGTTTGCATGATCTCATATTTTAAAAACTGTCTGCTGATTTTCTAGTTTTAAGACACATAGACAAAGCATAGTGAAGTGTAAGGACAAATCATAATGTGCTGATTAGATTTTAATGCATATAAGCAACTGCTATATACTTAATGTACATCAATCTCTCTATTGTATCATATTACATATGCATATAAAATTAATGTTCATAAATACACAAATTGGGAGATAAAAACTGGGTGAAGAGAAGGTGAAAAAAATATAAACATTCTATGTACTTTCTTGAGTTTCTCCCCCAGTTTTCCCAAAGGCTATCAAGCTATTACTTAAGTTTGGTTCACTGGAAACAAGCTAAAATAGGAAATTTTAGACTTTCAATTATTGAGGTGGTGTTCTGAGAAGACACCAGTAAGAAAGTGAGGGAAGCAAGATCAGGAAGCTCCTGCGTAGCTCTGTCTTTGGGTAGAAACTAGGTTCTCTCTGATCCTTGGGTACTTTGGAGCACCATGATGATGCAGTTTTTCATGTCTTGAGGTCAGAAAGCAAAGGATTTGTTCAACGCCAACATCCCAGTTGGTCATTAATGATGCTTACCAGGTAGAGGGAGAGAGAGGGCGTCCTTCCCAGTTACTTTCAGATAAGTATGATGGTTAATTTTCTGGGTCAACTTAAATGGACCATGGCATGCCCAGACATTTGGTCAAACATTAATCTGGATCTGCCCATGAGAGTCTTTCTGAATGATTATCATTTAAATCGGCAGACTAAATAAAGTAGAATTCCCTCCTCATTGTAGGCGGATCCCACCCTATCAGGTGAAGACCTGAATAGAACAAAAGGGCTGACTTCCATGGGTAAAGGGGAATTCTTCCTGCCTGACTTTCAGCAAGAATATGTATTTTTTTCTGCCTTCAGATTCAAACTGAAATACTACCTTTTCCTGAATCTCAAGCCTGCTGAATTTTGAACTAAAACGTATACTATCCACTCCCTAGGTTCTCAGGCTTTCAGACTCAAACTGGCTTTATTCCATCAACCTTCCTGGGAATCGGCTTGATGACTACAGATTCTGAAATTTTTCAACCTGCATAACCATGTGAGCCAATTCCCTTGAATAAATTTCATTTTTGTTTCTCTCTCTCTCTTACGGATTCCATTTCTCTGGAGAACTATGACTAATAAAATGAGAAGTGTGGCCCAGCCATGGGGACACAATAGTTGCATATCACTGTGCAGCACTGAAGATGGAGGGCTGGCTTGTTATATAAGCTAGACATGCACATACTTGCCTTTGACCGTGATCCTGGTTGGCCAGGAAGGCTGAGATGAGGGTAGTGGCTTAAGACCTTGTTAAGGGTCGTTGTCTCTCTCTTTCTTTTCCTTTCTCTTTGTCTCTTTCTCCTGAAAGAAAAAATAATTAAATTAAAAATGACATCCATTGTCTAAATGAAATTCTCTGGAAAATATTGATCAATCTGAGGTATTAGTAGAAGTACCTCCAGGAAGCAGTAAAAGTCATCGCAGGGGATTTGGATGAAGCACCAACATTTGTAATAAGTATGTGTCTTGCTTCAACAGAGTAATCTATGTCACATTAGGCTCTCTTTTGTCCATTCCAGGAAATTGCCAGTTTACAAATAACATCTTCATCTACCCTCCTCTCCCAATAAATGCTCCTGCCAGTCCCCGCGAAGGTTGAAGTTACACAAATTTAGACTCTCAACTCATCTTACAGTAAGTTTTGTTTCCTATGCATTTACAGTCCATATTTACCCCATCATCTATTCTAAAATAATTTTTAGGATTCCAAATTCACTTAATATTTATACAGATTTCCTGCCTTTTACTTTTAATAAAGATAATCCTGATGCTAAACTACTGCAGTGTTCTTTCTGGAGGCCCAACATTTAGAAAGACATTAAACTGTAGAAAATCCAAAAATGCTCAATTTATTATTTGAAGCTGAAATATTTCTTAGCAAAGTTTGGGGTACTTGTTACTTATTTCTGAGAGTGCAAGAGCTCTCTTTGAAAATAAGACATAAATCAAAGGACACACTCAAAGTTTTAGGACAGAAAGTTTCTTAGTGATCATTTATCTAATGTATTTTTTTCTCCATACAAATAAGGTGAAGAAAAATATGAAATCAACCAAGGAATAGAGAATAGACGTGAAAAAAACTTTTTACTTTACATTTTTAAGTGTTAACACCTTGATCAGCAATTATTTTTAGTAGCAGCTTAGTATAAAGTCATTTATATACAATACATTTTTAATGTTCAAATCTTATTGCTCATAGCTCTAAATTCAACTCAGAAAATGCCTCAGATGCAATTTTACAGCAAATGTTTTATTAAAAGGAATGTATCCTTTATAGGGAGCAGACTATTATGAACAAAATATAGTCATGGTTTTAAAAGAGTTTATCATTATAAATCTTTGAAGAAAATAATGACAGTAGCAACAGCACCCTTACCAACATAGACGTATGGACACATTTACTCTGCAAATATCCCTGTGAGGCCAGTACTTTACGCTATTTTACACAGAAGGAGACTTGAATCTAAACCTAGTTACTCTGCCCAAGAAAATTGTCTTCTCAAATGCTGTTCTTCAGTAGAACAAATATAATCTCAACACTTGAACCTCTTTCTACGATTAAACAATTTTCATACACATTTGCCAGAGACTTCTATGAATCAAGTAGTGTTTCATTACTTTTCTTAATTTGTCTGTGAGCATAGAACGGTGGAGAGTTTGTGTAATCTAGTGATCAAGTAGGAAATGATAGGCTTCCACATGTCTCTTGATAAGTGTGAGTTGGGTAGCTTTTCTTGTCCACAGGGAGTGTGTGCCCAGACTCCCAGGAACACCAGAAACCATGAAGAGTACTGTTCAGTATTTCATGTTTTCAATCTGGTAACTGAGACAGCCTCCAAGTCAGGTAGCAGACATAGCCTGGGTACACTGGACAGAGGGGTGATTTGTGTTCTGGACAGGACAAAGCAGGACAGGAGTGAAATTTCATCACACTACATATAACAGTATGAATTTAAAATGATAAGTTACTTCTTTCTGGAACTTTTCATTCAGTATTTTCAGGCTATGGTTGACCACACGTAACTGGCATAATGGAAAGTAAAACGGATAAAGGAGGACTGCCGTAATAGAGATTGCTGTCTAATATGGCAATGACTGTCCTGATCAAGCCAAAGGGCTTATATGTAGTACAGACTTTGCAATTAATAAAGAATGGCACAGGCTAAAATGAACATTATTAGGAGAAAGGGCAACAGTACAGAAGACAGGGGGTCTAGGTATTCATTTCTGCTTTGTAACTAGCCATTTGGTTTTAGCCAAGTCATTCAACTCTATGAGAATAATCGTTCTCTCTATTAAACTGAAAAGGCTGGAGTTTTGACCTACACATCTTAAAGATCCCCCGTAGGTCTTTTCTAACATTCCGTGATTTTGTGACCTAGCCTTTAGTAGTGGTGAGCTAATCATTATAATTAGGCACCAATGAAATCTATTTGGTTGCTTTTTATATGTGATAGGTGCTGTCACATTTGGGATTTCTCTTTTTTATTCCTATTTTGAGATCGTCTTACTTCCCTATGCTCTTTCAAAAACCTTCACTCTTAGGAAAGCATCAAAATGCATGAAGAGGATAGAGAGAGTTTGTGAATTTTTAAATTATTTAACGAGTTAAATTTTAAAGATGAAAGATGATTAATAAGAATAGGTTAAATGTCTTAATTTTTAAAATGAATGTTAGTCTATCACTTTAGTCAGTCTATCACTTCTTTCCTACCAGAACTGGAAAAAAAAAATAAAACACATTATTATACTTCACCCATGTACTAGAAAAGTTATGTAATGTGTCAAGAAAGAAGAATGACTTTGGATCTGCCCTCTGGAAAAGATTGCCTTGTTCGGCATTCTTTATTGTGGTCCTGGAATGGTGTACTTGAGCAATGGGAAACAGGGTGAGGCAATTGGAAAATCCTAAATTAGTGGGAGGTAAGGGGGGTATCTGCAATAGCTGGAGCAAAATGAACTTTTTTGCCTAGAAAAGCAGCTTAGTTACAACCCTCTGAGCTAAGACGTCAATCCATCCCATGCAGGACAAGTGTGGGTGATATATGGAAAGGATATTTTAAAATCTGCTTGAGCTTGCCAATCTGGAGATTTGCCCAGGAGAGAGAACCTCAGAAAAATCATGATGGAAACAAGCAAATGTTATCAAATGTATGCAGAACTTATGAGCCACAGAAACTAATTGGACAGAATCCCATTGCTAAGCAGATAAAGATTTTATTATTAATAATTAGGATGACAGTTCTTTAAATGGCCTTTTCTCTCGTGTCTGTTGCAAAGACTAAATAAGTACTTGGGTTAGTTTTGAGCAACGTCAGGAGAGAAAAATTACTTTCTTCACGTGTCCTTATAGAGCTTATTGTACCTCGCTGAATCTTAAACCATATTTCAAACATGGTTATGATGTTAAATACAGGTGGTAGAAACATTTCTTTCTAAGGCTAGAGACATTTCATTTTACACACTGAAGAAAAGAGCTATTTTTTTTTAAATGCGGATATGTTGTAACATCTTGAATCATGAAAAATATTCAAGTGATGCTAAATAACATAATGTATCTCTTAATATAAGCACTGTTTCTGTCAACAGACCCATGTCCATACACTGGGCAAAGCACCCTGAATTTAAAAGAATATGGCTGTTCATTGGCTATGTGTGTTAATGCCTTTCTATAGACATCAGATGTATTACTCTAATTTATTCTAAATGAGTTGTTTTTAGTGAAAATGCATCACATGCACAAACTAAGTCATTTCCAGGAACACTGTAACAGTTTCAAAAAGAGACACTTTGGTGTTAAAGAGAAGCATGCGATTCTTGGTTTCAGTGCCAGAGAGCTATAGTTTTAATGTGTTGAATCATTACAAATGATGACACAAATTATTACATTGTACAATAACAATTTAATTTGAAAGATAAAAGGAATGCAGGTGAACTTTTCAACAGGATCTTAAAGGATACAAATATGACAAAAAGTTATCAGAAAAAAAATCTTTTAATAAAAAATAGACTTCATGATATAGTGACTTTTTTATAGGCAATAAGACAGTATTGAGTTCATAAAAATAGGCCAGATCATAAATAATCATAATTATTTTTGAAAACATATTTAATATTTAGCTAGCGAGATGGTCATTCTAAAGACATAAGTCTTTTTTTAAAGAATTATTATATTAGGGCCAGCAGGTGGCATGGTGGTTAAGGGTGCTGGACTCCCACATGGCTGACCACAGTTTGAGTGCTGGACCTGGTGACCCACTTTCTCACTTTCTCTCTCTCTCTCACTCTATCCCTCTCTGGTCAAATAAAAATAAATAAATAAAATTTTAAAATAATTTTTATTTAACTTTATTTATTTATTTATTTATTTATTTATTTAAATTTGACCAAAGAGGGACAGGGTGAGAGAGAGAGAGCGAGGAAGGTGAAGTGAGAACATAAGCTGCGGTTCCAGGACTTGAACTGCTGTCAGCTATGTAGAAGTCAAGTGCCCTAATCTACCACACCACCTGCTGGCCTCCATAAACAAGTAAGTCTTAAGGGGCCAAATTCTAGCATCTTAAGTTACTGTGCTGTTTGAAAACAAGTAGATAAATAAGACAAGAATATATTTATTAATAATTGAATAAAACTGAAATTAATGGAGCCTGAAGCAATCAAAATAGAATAACATGTATTGAAGCTTTAATTAACCTACACTTTCTAGAATATGTCATTAGTTTTGCTGAACTCACTTTATGTACTTATTTATTTATTTTTCTTCATTCATTTATTTTAATTTGACCGCACACACACACACAGAGAGAGAGAGAGGGAATGTGAGAAAGCAACCCATCAGGTCTGGAACTCGAACCATGTTCAGCCATGTGGGAGTGTCCAAAGCCTTAACCAACATGCCACCTGCTGATTCTCTTCATGTATTTATTTTTTTAAACATGTATTTATTTCATTATTATTTTTAAATTTGACCAGAAAGAGACAGAGAGAAAGAGAAAGAAAAAGAGAGAAAGCAAGACCCCAAGTGTAGGACTCGATCCATGAACTGTCATGTGGGACCTTAACCTCTTTAACCACCACACCATCTGCCAGCCTCAATACACTCACATCGAAAGACCAGTATTAAAACTGCCAGCCCAACTATCACAGATAACTTTTTATAACCAGGCAGCAACAATTACTGAACATTGTCAATGAAGCTATTGTTTTAGATTATATACTGCTGCAACTTGGAATAAATTCTGACCATCTGTAAGAAGTCAAAAGAAGTAACATTCATATTAGAAGCACTATTTAAGAAAATGCTTCGCTAATAAAGTGCTAGAAAGTAATTCGTTATTTTACTTGGCATTCTTCAACCATCTTCAAACTCAGTATAGTTTCTACTTTATTCTTTTTATAATGACTGACATAGAACATAATTGTCTCAATCATTTTTCATTTTGTACTTAGGAGTAGATTTGTCTATAAAATACATAGCAGGTATTTTGTTTTGGTAATCCTCATTCATACTGTGATGAAATAATTACATCATGTATTGCTTAATGGTTGTCATTCAACAACTACTACTCGACACTGTGAACTCTGTGAGGACAGAGAGAGTGTCTGCCTTGTACAACTCAGCTCCAGCA